GTTTTTATATGTATATTTAACTTAATTGTGCTTTTGGTTCCTAATCATTTTAATACTGTGAGACTCCTTCCCTTATTGGGACAAAAACAGCCTATCAAACCAACCAACCAACCAACCAACCAATGATGAAGCCTCACTTGCAGTGGGGATTTGAACAAGTACGCCCCCCCCCAAAGCCTAGATCTTCCTTTTCATCATTTAACACCAGCTTTGACAAGCAGAAAACATGTTGCGTGGCCAGTTACTGCTTGTATGAAAGTCTTCTTTTGTGTACTTTAAATAGAATGATCATAGATGGTACTTTAAGAAAAAAAATCTCTCTGCTTCCAGCCCCATTTTCACACCTGCATCTTTTAAATTTTTGTTGTGACGAGCATGCAATTTGTGCATTTAATGCAACGGACTTTTAGTGTGCTTCTGCTGCTACAGTCAATTTAGTCCGCTCCCTGAATGCAACGCATGTTTCATAAACATCTGCAGAATTGTGTGGCATGTTTTTGAAAAGTCTTATGGCAACTTTAGAGGCCGACGGGTTGTAAGTTTCTAATGAAGCCAACATTAGCCCCAAGTGATGAATTCATTGTCAGTGTCGGCCGAAACCAGGGGTGTGTTGCAGCCGGCTAAAGTTTGTTCGCTTTGTGTTTCCTGCAGTGAGCTGTTTTCCCCATCACAGAAGTATCAGCTGCTTGTGTATCACGCAGATTCTCTCTTCCACGACAAGGAATACAGAAATGCCGTCAGTAAGTATACAATGGCTTTGCAGCAGAAGAAAGCGCTGAGTAAAACGTCAAAAGTAAGGCCGTCGACGGGGAACGCAACATCTACTCCTCAGAGCCAGGTACTCGTAGTTAAAACACTGCTTAGCATCTCCTCTGTCGGCATTGGGTGGTTGGTTATCTTTGCCGGAGGAGATTTCCATTCAGATTGGTTTATAGTCTTCTTTTATTTTACAACTGTAATGGGAAATTTGAGCATTTTATCACTACACACACACCCAAGATCTGCAAAGCAGAGGCGGGTGCAAAAAATAATACAGTTGGAATTGCAGTTCGTAATCCTTCCACATTCTTGATTCCCCCATGGTTTCCCGATTCATTCAAATGTGAAACCTTTGGTTAAAAAGTTCATCTTTCTCCATGTTGCAAGAGGTGCAAAACTTTTAAGACGTCATCTCCGTTGTATTTCTAGTGCCTGCCTTCCGAAATAGAAGTGAAATACAAAATGGCCGAGTGTTATACAATGTTGAAGCAGGACAAAGATGCCATCGCTATACTTGATGGCATCCCATCCAGACAGAGAACCCCAAAAGTGAGTTATTCCTAATGAGGCGCCGAGGGGGGGGGGGCGGAGAGACAAATTTCTCAGAACCCTTTGAGATCGGGTGCATGCAAACGATAGAAATTCTCTCAAGGAATTGGTTGCAAAATGTATGCCACAAATCTCCAGCCGTTTAAATAAAACCGAAAGCAACTTGCTTAAACATTGCAAGCCCATAGGGTTGTACAGGGCTATGTGACAAACGCAAGGCCCTTAACTCA